AGCATAAACACACTCGACTATCACTAAATCACATTTAACACACGCTAATTCAGTTTACAATAGGGTTCATTCGCTCGGTCAGCAGGTGGCAGTATCCTCGTACACTGTACTGTACGGTCCAACTTTGCACATGCGCAGTAAGGATCGGGAGTCCTGATCCGTAACTATCGTTTTATTTTTCGTTTTTGTCTACATTATACTGAAATGCTTCATTATTGCAAACAGTTTAAGATATTTATTATTCTTAAAATCTTAAGAGATACTTTGACCTGTAACTATCGTAAAATTGGCTCTGATATGGTGAAAATGTACAGGCGTAGTTAAAGTTCAAAGGATGTTAGTAAGATCACTGACTCGTTACACTGTAACATCTGTGTGTTTGTGTGCTTATGCAGTGAGCTAATGTGTTTCAGTCTTCACAGAGAAACGCTGAAGTGTGCGTGTAATCTAACACGATCAGCACAGGCAGGAGACGTACTTGATAACATTTGATCCACAGCACGTCTTTGACATTCTGCTTGGTGATGGAGCCAATCAGAATCGATCTACCGCGGCCTCACTTACCATCAAACCTCTCTGAGGGCACAGCGTTGTCGATGGAGGGCGGCACTGATGTGTGCTCCTTCTTGAACTTTTCAAATGCTTTTCTATTTATTTCATCTTTCTGCACCGGATCTGTGGACGAGACCGTAACCAGCAGCAGGTCAAAGCATCCATGCGCCTGCAGATACAACCGTGGTAAGCTGAGGTTTCTTTGTGAGCTTACCGAGTCGTTGCAGGTTCTTGGCTTTGTTGATGACGTCTTTGGCCGTCCTCTTCATGCCGCTGGTGGAGTGCGTGTTCATATAGTCAGCAATAACCTCCCACCTAGCAAACACGAAACAAGCTTTAATGACACACAGGTCCCCGACTGACGCCGGCTGTAACTCCGAGCGCTCACCTGGCGTTGGTTCCAGCAGGGAACAGGTTCACTGCTTTTATGAGCAGCTGGAGGTCCTCTTCGTTCCAGCCCTTCCCCCCGCCCGCTCCCCCGCTGGCCTGCTCAGAGCTGCGAGCCGCCTGCCTGGCCTGGATCTCAGCCTCCCTCTCCTTCTGCAGCTGAGCATTCACCTCCTGCACCTGAGGAAACAGCAGCAACGTGTTTGTCGACGTGCCGGCTGCTGATGGTGTGCGGCTTCAAACCTGAGGCGCTACAAAGAAAACGTTCCTCTACCTGCTTTTCCACTGCTGCCTTGTTCTCCTCTTTAGAGCCCGAAGCCAGCTCTTCATTGAGGGACTGTAGGCTGGAACGAAACAACGCACATGCGTCACATCAAATGCACTGCTGAAGCTCTATGAAATAATAATTACACTAAATCTTAATTCAGCCTGTAGTTTGGCACATCGTGTCAAACCAGAAAGTCCTTCACACTGTAATGAAACCACAGGCTCTTCTATGTGCTCCTGCCTGCAGCTACAGCACAGAGTTCAACACTGAAAGCTTTCAGCTGCAGGTGAGCAGAACTGACCCGATGTTTCACAGATGATCCCAGGTTTCCTTTCATTTATATGGTAAGCTATTTAAATGTAACCAACATCATCATCAGCTTTACGCTCATCCAGGATCATCTCATGGTGGAAACCTGAGTCCAGTTTGTTTCTTCAAAGTCGAGCAAGAAACCAAAAAGCATCACGCTCTTTCCCGACAGCGGCTCTTTGCTCACGGTGGCTCTTCTTGGGCCACGGCGGCTCTTGGGCCGACGGCGGCTCTTTGGGCCACGGCGGCTCTTTGGGCCACGGCGGCTCTTTGGCTAAAACTGACTCGTACCTTGTTAGTTCCAGGCGGTCACAGAGTTTCTCCACTTCCTCCATCATTTTCACACTGTCAGCCTCGTTGTCTGCAAAGTAGTTCCAGTTCTGTGGAGAGGAACAGCGTCAGATAGTGAAACTGCACCAAGCAGCAGCACACAAACATGTCTGACACTGTAGGCGCTTACCTTGCACATGGTCCTGAGTTTCTGCCTCTCCTTCTTGATGGCCTTCTTCTGGATCTCCTTCTCCTTCTTGGCCTGCTGGGCGGCCTGCTTGGCTTCCTCTTCCTCCTTCTCCTTTGCCAGCCGAGCTGCCTCCAGCTCCGCCCGCCGGGCCTGTCAGACACACAGAAGCTGAGCCTGTGACCAACTGAAGCTCAGCATCTTCTCACAGCATGAACTGAGCAGCTTTAAGAAGCTTCTTTGACTCCGAGCTGGGAAATATGTGTGTTACCCACAGCGTGAAGCACTGAGTGGTGTTTTTGAAACACGACAATAAGAAAACCAAACTGTCCAATACTGCTCACTGCTCAGATTCTGGGAAACAGAAGCGAACACTATCCACTCTTTAAAAACAGCTGCAGGTTAAGCTGCTCCTTTGTGATCCAGGTCACAGAGAGGAATTACAGCACCTGAACCAGGACAGGAGGCGATGTGTGAACACTTGTCCTGCAGTAACCCTCCTTTATTTATTGACTTGTTTTCCCTTTGTCACGTCTGCACTGGCAGGAATAATCTCAGCTTTGTTTTAATCACCTCGTCTAACTAGAGGAGCAGCTATGTAACACGGACGTCGCAGCTAACAGCACAAACCCAACGAGATGATTCTTGCTGCTAGCTTTACCGTTGGACGAAACAGTCGCGCACCTTTAGGCCAGTCGACCTTCCCCGCCGTGACACCTACCCTCTCCTTCTCTTCCTGCTCCCTCTTCTTGGCCTCAGCTTTGGCTTTCTTCTCAGACTCCTTCCTGGATTTTTCTTCTTCTTTGAATTTCTTTATTCTAGGGTCACAGCCGTAGGCAGTATCTGCAGTGAAGCATTACAGACGATGAGTCACACTGCAGCCTCTTTACAGACCATCTCTGTACGTGCAGTATTTGCTCAATACTTGTGCTGCTAACGAAGTGTGTGACTGTACCAACTAGTGTTCGTATTCTGTTCATCTCCTCCTTCTTCCTCTGAGCCCTCGAAGCTCGGTTCTGCTTTTCAATCCATCTCCTCTCATCACGACTGCACGGGGGGAGAGTTGACGCGTTAGACGACAGAGGGCTAACACCTGCTTCATCGGGGCAGACGGGAGCTTACCATTCAGCCTTCTCCTTTTCCTCTTCATCCAAGTATGAAAATTCCCTCCAGGAGTCAAAGTTGTACCTTTAACCAAAAAGAAAAGAATGAACCATTACATCGTGTTTGTCTTGTTTTTCATTCAAAGGAGCATCTCTCACTCTTCCACTTACCAAAAAGAGTAAAAATTATCCACTTCTTCAAAAGAGGACTCCACGGTGCCAAGTTTGGTCACATGTTTCTTGGAAGACCATCTGGCATTTCTCTCAAAAACGGGAGCAAATACCTCAAAAAAGTTCTCTTTCCCTTCACTCTTGGAAGGCACAGAGTTGTCAAAGGTAGGATCGACACTGTCGAAGGCTCTCCTCTTCACGGGGTCGGACAAGATTTCCACAGCTGAGGTTCAACAGGTGGGTCAGTTAGTTCAGCAGATTCCAGAAACAACGTCTGTGCTGACGATTAGTTGCAGCACTGCGTACCTTTAGTGATGCAGGTGAAGTAGTCATTGTCTCCTTCCACGATCTGCTCCCCTGCAGCTTTCCTTTTGTCAGGGTGGTGCTTCAGCACAATCGATTTGTCTGCGGACAAACGGCAGAGACTGCGTCATTAGAACAAACCAGAGACGTGAAACACGCGTGTAGGTGGGAACATACTCACGGGCAGCTTTGATCTGTTTCTGCGTCGCCTTGTACCTCAGGTGTGGGAGCCCGAGCACAGCATAGTGATCTTGATTCTGACAGGTTACAGGAGAGTAACGCTCAACAACATTATTACAGCTCTTAAACTCTGTAGAGTCCCTCAGGGCTCCTGTTCCACTGACTCTCTGTCAGCACCAACAGTTACACCTGTTATCACTGCTTCAAATAATCCTTCGTCCCAACATCGTACAGTAAATACGGGTTTACTTTAAAACATTACATCTGCACCGTCTTCGACAATCCACGTGCGGCCTTTTCGTTCCAGATAAACTCTGAAGTCAAAAGAAAAAACTCGCCTTCACATGTATCCGTCTATTTGTAACGAACGCTTTATTGTTAATGTGGAATACATGTCACTACAGGAAGTGCTTACTGTCGTTTGTAGCGATGAACCAAAACCGTTTACGTTCGCGAGGCATTTCAGAACTCACCTGTGATTGGGTTTTTCAGCTTCATCTTAATGCAGTGAATCAAAGTCTTGGTGGCACCGACTGCAGGATCTGTCACAGGTGTTAAACCTCACCATCATTAAACTAATGTTCTGCGACTCACAGATTAGATGCACTACTGCGCTCTAAGCTCACGGCACCGTAAACACTGAAACGTCAGGTCAGACTGAGAAGCACAACCAGAAAAGCTTGAAATGGATAATCGTGTGTTTCAGAAACATGACTCAAAGGACTTAATGAACCACATTTTAATCTCAGACAATTAAATGAACGACACTGAAAATGCACGCTCTGCTAGGAGAACGAGGCAAAAGCAAGTCCAGCACGCCCTGATCGGCGCCTGATGACGTGCTGCATGTGCCTGGTGTGCAACAAACCCAAAGCCCTGAAACAGCAGAAAGTAAAGAGTTCATCCATCAAACTGGATTATTTTCCTCTGTTTGGCAGAGGCACAACACCATTAACTGATTCAAACACACCACGAAAAACAAAGCAGCGGTTGCTAACGTGAATTATCATCGACTCAGGCATCATTAAAGCACGTCTGTGCAGCGTGTCAGTGCAGCCATCAAACACACACAGCCAAAGATAAGCGTCCACTTAAGACAGTGAGTATCGAAGGCTTTGGAAAACCGGCTGTGCCGCAAAACACGCACCATCACCGGTTCAACTGAATAGTTTTTCCAGACTGTAAACACAGGGAAGTGGAGAGGGCTGTCAGGAACCTCCCTCTGAAATTCCCAACACATTCTACTTTGCTTACAGAGGACGCCCTGCTGAACAAACTCCATCATGTTTTAATAAACAGGATCACAGCACAACTTTGATGAGTTCAGTAAAAATGTTTCATATTTTTTGTCTTCTGAGACACAGAAAACGGTTCAGTGCAGATGTGAAAGCAGGGATCTCTTTGCAAACAGCTGAGATGTCACATACCTTCCAGTCTTTAGGATCAAGTTTTCGGAGCATGGAGTACTCCTCCAGCTGAAACTCCTCATCTGCAGACTCTTCTGAGGACTCCTCCTCTTCCTCCAGCTCCTGGAAGGAAGACGACACATTTCTGTTTCTCCTCCTGATGTAGGCCTCGAACCACCGACCCACGGGCTCCACCTGAACCTGTGCCGAGGCTGTGAGGAGGAAGAGACATCTTGGTAAATTAAACATCTTTGCTCCCTTTTTGTTACCACGACACTGTAAAACGAAGTGTTTCAGTACTTCGAATCATTACTTATCTTAACCTTGAACACTGCCAAGAGATTTTTATCAAAGCCTCAGGCGTTAATTAGCTTTTTAGGGCTGAAGCGTTTGCAACTTTTCAAAGCTTTACATTAGAAAGACTCCAAGGTGGAGGGCTCTGGCAGCTATGGCTGTCTTTTATGTACAGTCTATGGTTGACGGCTGGGAAACTAAGAGGCTGTTTGGCAGCAAAGAGCTTCAGAGAGACTAAGCAGACCAGGCTCAGAAAGGGTTTTACTGCCAAATGTTGAGCAGGTTTACAACATCAGGAAATTGCTGCTGTAAGACAAACACTTAAATAAACATAAAATAAAAATTAAAAGTGCTGAGCAGATTTACATGAATGCAGCTGATGATCAGTGCAAAAATGGACCCGATGCAGAGAACACAGGACAGGGGCATATGCTTGAGGGGGGAACAGCAGATGTTCCCACCTCAAGCATATGACCCTGTCCTGTGTTCTTGGGCTCAGGGAGGGGCGGCCATCTGCTACCGGTCGCAGCAGATGGCCCCGCCCCTCCCTGAGCCTGGTTCTGCTGGAGGTTTCTTCCTGTTAAAAGGGAGTTTTTCCTTCCCACTGTCGCCAAAGTGCTGCTCATAGGGGGTCGTATGATTGTTGGGCTTTTCTCTGTATCTATGAAGCGCCTTGAGGCGACATTTGTTGTGATTTGGCGCTATATAAATAAAATTGAATTGAATTGAATTGAACAGTCGTATGGTTATTGAAGCAGAGCTGCAAGCACAGTGCAAGTGTCACAACCATCACTGCCCCAAACATGGTGGGAAGTCTCACTGCAAACTCAGCATCCTCCAAACTCCCACAGCTGAGAGAGGTGCCAAAGGAAGCGCTCCCAGTGACTGACTGAACATGAGCTTTGTCATTTTAAAGCTACAAAAGTATAAAACGCATTATTACTGGAGATGACTCAGCCCTCACCGAGCAGCACCGACATGTGACACGCTGTGCGGGACACTGTCACAGTTTAACAGGGAGTGCTGCGTGTGTCCACCTTCACGCCTGTCAGTCACAGGTGTTCAGCCCTTACGTAACAGTCAGGTAATGCTCCACATGAAAGGCTGTGAAATTCCAATGTCTGTCATTAATAATAATAATTATAAGTAGAAGCCAACTAACCGGTGAAGCTGGTGAGACGCTCTCACCAGCTGGTGAGCGAGTGAACCCGGCGACAAACGCCGTTTGGATAACCCGAGACACAACACGGCTAACTAATACAAACGCAGAGACTTTACCGAGCTTCAAATTAGCCGGTAATGTTAGCCTGCTGTGTGCTCTGTTTAGCTGCATGCTAACACGCAGAGCAGCAGTCAGTATGTAAGAGTCCCTGCTTAACTAGCTGCCTCCCTCTGACCTCCTTCAGTGCTTACCGGCAGCTGCTCTGTAGACAACCGTTTCATCCCCATCCAACGCTTCCAGCAGCATTTTCAAAGCAGGTTACGCGATCATTCAGATGCCGGATGATCAAGTGAGACCTTTAGAAAGTGCTACAGTCTGTGGCCCGCTCTCTACCACATGGGCCTCCTTTTGCCACTGCCAATCCGAGAACGAGCTCTGCTGTCACACCGCTAAAACCTCCGGGTGTATCATCGCGGCTCGTCACTTGTAGTTCCGCCGTTTTTGTTTTGGTATTTATCTGTAGATTAAAACCTGGCCCCGCAAACTAAACATGTCACACAGTTTCTCTAATAATTAGGATGTAAAAATGATACGCACAAGATTTCTGTAGCCCCCAACAGAACAACATGATAATAATATATTTTTAAACCCGTAAAGCTGGTACATCCTCACTACAATTCCCGCTTGTGTGTTCCGGTAAGTTGCGCATAGCGGCGGAAGTCCAAAGCTGCTGTGTAATTGTAGAGTTTAGCAGTCCCGCTTGTTCGAGACTAAACAGTTTGTTCACACATTAGACATGCCGGACTATCTGGGAGACGACCAAAGGAAGATTAAGGAAGAGGAGAAGGATGACTCCCCTATTAGAGGTATATCTAAAATCGTTTATTTTAAACTAAGATATTATTTCGCGAAAGGAAGCGTCGATATCAGCTAGCAACATTGCTAATGTTAGCTTAGCTCGTTGAAAACAGTTTGCTCCTGCTGAATGTATTTGTTACCATGTTGTTATAAATATGATGTGTTGATGGTGGAAAAGTCTCGTGTATACTGCATCGCTCAGTCCGACAACAGTGTCGGAGTGCAAACGCATTCATGTGATTGTGATTCTTTTTTAAAGCTTTGGATGAAGGAGACATCGCTCTGCTCAAAACATATGTAAGTATGGCTTTCAAACTGAACCACGACACCAAGCAAGTGTCATGGAAATGATTCCACAGTGAGTGAATGTGTTGTTTGCTGTTCACCACCAGGGTCAGAGTACCTATTCCAGACAGATCAAACAGGTGGAAGATGACATTCAGCAGCTGCTCAAGAAGATAAACGAGCTGACGGGTGAGCGAGAGTACATTTGTGCCACAGCAGGGCAGTAAGACGTTCTCAGTAAGCTTCTTACTGGACTTGGTGATTAAAGCGGTCATAAGCAATAAAACGGCATTTATTTGAAAAGCTCATTTGCCGAACTAACTTTCTAAACCTTCAAAAATTCCAGCTTAGGAGGCCACTTGTGTCTGACCAAATTTCAAGTACTGGGTCAAAATCAGGGGTTTTACTCCGGCTTTCTTAGATTTTCTTTACTTGGAATTCACCATTACAATTTGTAAATGTATTCAGATATTCTCAGTTTCATGTCTTCCAGTTGCATCCAGAAACGATACGAAATCAGCAAGTTTAGCGAATTGTGCGTCCCAAGTTACAGACACAATGATAACTGCAGCTGCATGGTCCTGTGCATATTAACTGATTATCCTGCAACATGCACAGGACTCAATAACGCTGTTGCACAAATACATTTGGACATTTAAGTTTCATTAGGTGCCAGTTAAATCTCATGTATTTTCACTCCTTGATTTAATTATTTGGTGCTTGACGGCCTGTTACTTCAGATGCAGCTGTCTAGCTGGCCTTTCCCGGCCACCCAGTGCCAGCCTGTACTCTGGGCTAGTTTAACACACAAAGAGAGATCACCTTTTCTACCACAACCCACAGCTATGGGGCCAGTTTAGATTTTAAAAAGGCATGTCTAGTTGACTTTAACTCCAAAAAATGGAAAGGGCTGCATTGTTGTTGAAAATGGATCATCTTAAATTTGGAACGGTTGTCCAGCTTTATCAGAGGAGTATATATGGACGGTTTTGGTACTTTGGAGGGCTGCGCAACATGCTTTGTGTCTGATTTTTGTTTGTTTTTAATTGCACAGGCATCAAGGAGTCTGACACAGGCCTGGCTCCACCGGCTCTCTGGGATCTAGCTGCTGACAAGCAGACACTGCAGAGCGAGCAGCCGCTGCAGGTAGCAAGGTAAATGTTCGACTTTAACATCACCAAAATGTAAAGTGTGGTGTTATATCGCTGATCTTCCCTTTGGGATGTTTCGAGCGACATTCCTGTTAATCTGACGTGAATATTCTTAGCTTTCCTACTTCCTTCCACAGCATTTCCATTATGTAGCTTCATGATTCTTTATTTTTTTCTGACAGATGCACAAAGATCATCAATGCAGACTCTGAGGATCCCAAATACATCATCAACGTCAAACAGTTTGCCAAGTTTGTGGTGGACCTGAGTGACCAGGTGGCTCCAACTGACATCGAGGAGGGCATGAGAGTGGGGTGAGGCAGAAACATGATTTAGATGTGTTACGTAGTTTCCAGAAGGTTCCATCAGCTGTAAGCTAAGTTTAGTGTCCTTTCTGTTTTTCCAGGGTTGACAGAAACAAGTATCAGATCCACATTCCTCTGCCTCCGAAAATCGACCCCACTGTCACCATGATGCAGGTTGGGAGGCGAGGATACTCTGTGATTGTTTGGTTATCTGTCTGCTTGCATGTGATAACTCCTTGGCCCACTTGCTTTAGGTGGAAGAGAAGCCTGATGTGACCTACAGTGATGTTGGTGGATGCAAGGAGCAGATTGAGAAGCTAAGAGAGGTGGTCGAAACGCCGCTGCTCCACGTGAGTGTTCCAAAGTTAGAACCACCACTGAGGCACGAGTGAAGCAACTGTCTTCTGCACATGGAAGCTCACTTGTCGTCTTCTTCTTCTCACCAGCCTGAGAGGTTTGTCAATCTGGGAATCGAGCCTCCTAAAGGTGTGCTGCTATTCGGGCCCCCCGGTACCGGAAAGACCCTGTGTGCCCGGGCTGTGGCCAACAGAACAGACGCCTGCTTCATCAGAGTCATCGGCTCCGAGCTGGTGCAGAAATACGTGGGAGAGGTGCGCTCACAAAAAGAAAGATCAGCTGCAGTTCAGATCAGGAAGGTTGATTCTCATAAACGTCTGACTTTTCCTGAACTCGTTCACAGGGCGCCAGGATGGTGCGTGAGCTCTTTGAGATGGCCAGGACCAAAAAGGCCTGTCTGATCTTCTTTGATGAAATTGATGCTATTGGAGGTTAGTCTTATTACTTAAAAACATCCATTGACGTCCTTTTAATCCAGCGTGAAGAGAAATCCGTTCTGAGTGTGAGCGTGTAACCCTCTGAACCTCCCAGGTGCTCGTTTTGATGACGGCGCCGGTGGAGACAACGAGGTCCAAAGGACCATGCTGGAGCTCATCAATCAGCTGGATGGTTTCGACCCTCGAGGCAACATCAAAGTGCTGATGGCCACCAACAGGCCGGACACGCTGGACCCGGCCCTGATGAGGCCCGGACGTCTGGATAGGAAGATCGAGTTCAGCCTGCCTGACCTTGAGGTGAGTTTCAAACTGGACTGTGTTACACTTCTCTGATGTAGCTCTGTCCAATTCAACCATCTTTAAACCCGCCGTTGCAGGGTCGCACCCACATCTTCAAGATCCATGCCCGCTCCATGAGTGTGGAGAGAGACATTCGCTTTGAGCTGCTGGCTCGCCTCTGTCCCAACAGCACCGGTAAGACTGCAGAGCAGACGTTACTTCCTGTCGAGTCACAGTCTCCCTCAGCTGCGTCTTTATGTTTTAGTGTTTCCTGCTCGTGTGGGTGTGGCATACATCAGCTGTCCTTCAGAATGCTGTTGTCATAGAGACACTAAACCAGCGGTCCCTAAACCACGGACCGGTACCGGGCGTAAGAGTTGAGGCTTGGGTGTGAAATGTATGGTTTTCAGGGGTTTCATTGTTAACACGGTTTCCCTGGTGTTTGGTACCAGTACTGGTTTTATTTTGTTTTATTGATCCGCGACATCATAAAGGCCACCTGTGAAAATATTGTCGGAGATAGATTAAAAAGTTGGGGACCGCTGCACTAAACTACTTGTTTTCTGAGTGGCTTCCAGTATTTTTCCGATTTATCGACCTCTTAGTGTAGTACTGATGTATGACCACACGGGGGCAACCTGTTACTTGGAAGTATGTTATGTTAAAGTAGATGAGCGTCTGAGGCAAGTCTTGGCTGTCCTTTAACACGATCCTGTATTTCAGCCAAGTCAAACTGTTTTGAATGGCTTTGGGATAAAGGTCGTCTACATGCAGGTTTAATAGTTTCTCAGCTCTCTGAAAGTCTGAGCACTCTCTTAAATCGTGCTTCCTTTCAGGTGCCGAGATCCGCAGCGTGTGCACCGAGGCAGGAATGTTTGCCATCAGGGCTCGCAGGAAGATCGCCACAGAGAAAGATTTCCTGGAAGCCGTTAACAAGGTCATCAAATCATACGCCAAGTTCAGCGCCACTCCCAGATACATGACCTACAACTGAGTGTGTGCTTGTGTGTGATTTGGCTTTGTCAAAAAAAGAAAGTCAAAAGGATTTTGTTTTGTTGTTATTGTTGTTCACTAAAAAATAAAAGTTATTCCAGATTTCAGTTTCAGTGTTTAACAAAATAAGCTTGAAAGGCCTCCTGTGTCGTTCACTAACAGCACAATTAAAGCTGCATTCATGTAGTACTGAGTCATATACCAATGCAAATGTACAGTAACAGCAACATGACACTGCAAACAGACCGGAAAGCTCATTCCTGATCAGAATAACAAAAATCATATTGACAGATTACAGGTAACGATTTGGTACCAGCGTGATAATGAGGTGGTCAGTATTACATGTTTACAACACAAGGCCTCCAAAAGTACCTGCTAACATTATCATGTAGACAAAGCTGCAGCTTTAAAAAGTACTTCAGCAAACAGTGAGAACTACAACATGACTAAAGTGCAACACTGCAGAGAAATCGGGCTGGACACATCCTGAAGGTTCTGATTAAAACGATGTTCTTGCTGCTTTGGAACTTTAACGAGACTTCGATTCTTTAAGGGCACTGAGTGAAAAACACTCCTGATGTTTCAGCTGAAAACAAGTTCACAGCGAGGTTGTGAGAGCGCCACCACGTCACATCCTCTCAGGTCATGTCGCTGACCGCAGCCACAGACAGGTGAGAGTGCTGACAGTGGAGCACGGCGTCGTGGACGGTGGGGAACAGGAAGTCTGTGGTCAGGTCCTGAGTGAAGAACTTCAAGGTGTCCAGTTCAGCCAGCAGGTTCCCTGCAGAGAAACATGCAGCAGGCTCAGTATTTACATCAATGACAACAACCACTTTCAAACCATTTGAACACAAACAGACTTTAGTGAAGGAAAGACGCTAATACACGTTCTGTGCAGACACAGACATTCCTGCAGTGATAGCTTTGTTTATTTACAGGGCACACAAAGCAACTAAAGCAACCTGCTGTGTTCACTTCTTGGACTGCAGCTTTGTTACAGTCTGAAACGAGCCGCTGCAGCTTCATCCCTTCTGGCTAGCTGAGCGCTCGTGAGCCAATATACCGAGAGTGAACTGTAAATATATCGTGTGACATCTTCTCATTTTCAATCCCAAATGTGCAGAACAGGAGCGTCCTGTTTGTTACTGCAGGAATGGCTTCAGTCTGTGAGTCACAGGCTGTGTTTGCAGCAGTCTGTCAGGACCCACAGGCTCAATCATTCAAACCAGAACTTCCAGAGTTCTGTCACAGCGCTTGTTGCCTGTTTCCATCCTTTACATTATGACCCCAGTGTGTGGAACTTGTCTTTATTATAGGTCTCCACTTACAGACCTTATCATGTTCTCATTCATGCAAACATCGAAATCAGCCAATCACATGGCAGAAGAATCACATGGCATGACTGTAGATATCAGACGTGCTGAGTGTTTTAGACGTTGCTGGGTCTTCCCAACACAATCATCTCTGAGGTTTAGAGAGGACGGTCTGAACAAGAGAACGCAACAGGCGAGCAGCAGTTCTCTGGGAGAAGATGCCTCAATGATTTTGTGTCGAGCGTGACAGGAAGGTGAGAGTGACTCAAATAACCACGTGTTACCACCAAAGAGCTTCTCTGAATGCACCTCGTGTTGGAAAGCAGATAGGCTACAGCAGCACAGGGCGCCACATCGGCCAGCTACAAACAGAAACCTGAGGTTGCAGTATGCACAGGCTTTGGTGTAAACATAACAGCATGGATTCCTCCTGCCTTCAATCACTGGTGCTACAGTGTGAGGGATATTTCCACGTCCATGCCTTTCTGACCACAGTGTACCAACTCCTGCAGGACGATGTGTAACAAAGCACCAGTCCTCTTTAACTGGTTTCATGAACAGTTCATGGTCCACAAATAGTCCCCACAGCTATTTGTGAAGATAAGAGGATGGATGGATGGGTTTTAATTGCGTTTTGTACGTGTTGCATATAAAACAGCATGTGTACAGATATTTTCAGATCTAATGAAAAGTCTTAATAGTCACTTACTGTTGCAGCCAGCTATGACCACCCGGACATCTACGGCGGCATACTCTTTAATGACCTGCACAAACAGATAAAAACAGATAATAGTTTTTAGTATTGGAGCTCGACACCACGAAACACTGACTGGAGTTCAGTGAAAACATGCAGCTGCTGCTCCTGTGCAGCGCTGGAGAAAGGGCCAGAACCTGTCTGATGGCTTTCGCTCCCACTGAGTCGATGAAAGTTGCAGACGTCCAGTCCAGGATGATGGAGTGGACTGTGCTGAAAGGCTCAAGGAAGACCGCCTCCTCTGAGTCGCCATGTCTGTCGCCAAACTGGCCGTTCTTCTGATCCACCGCCACGTGGCTCTGGGACAAAACGTCATGAGTTACTGCCTCATCCTTGTACTAGAAACAAAGCAACACCACAAAACATATTATAGACACACACGACCGTCACATGAGTGTATTTAACCTGTTGACAAAGCTCAAAGTTTGGACAGAAAAGAAAAACTCACCGTGGCACAGATTTTCAGCGGAGACGACTGATCGCTGCTCGTCTTCTTTCTTTTTTTTTGGGCTTTCCGAGCAGCTTGTAAGCGTTCAGGGTTCAGCCCCGTCTGTAAACATAATCACAGCAGAGCTGTTAACATCCAGCTCAGCACTTCCTCACTCTTTACCTCCTCCATTACCTCACGTCTTATTTTGGCATTTTCTCTGATAATTATTCATATTACAT